ACAATATAGCAAAAATAAAAAAAAATAAGAAAATAAAAAAACAAAAAAATAAGGACATGATTGTTGTGAATTAATTTTAAAACGTGAATACAATTTCAATGAAATGAAAAATAAAAAAACAACAACAATGAAACAACAAAAATAATACAAAGAATGAGAAAGTTTAAAGGAGTCCTTTTATGTACCCAAAAAAAAAAATAAAAATAAAATATGTAGAATGTGTAGTAGGATTCAACTGAATTTACTATTTAAGTCGGGTTGGAGTAATAAAATTTAAGAATAAAATTTTAATACACGTCCCTTTAAATTTATTTTGTTTCGATTTACGACCTTTGTTTATTTTTTTGTAGGTTACTTTTCATGGAATTATTAAAGAAAAGAAATAAAAAATAGGTGCCGACATTGTACAATTTCCATTCTTATTTCAGTTTCTTAGTTTATATAGTTTTTTCTTTTTTATTTCCTATTGTATTAAGGAGGAGATTTATTAGCTTTTAAAGTAGTTCTAATATATAACTGATATAGTTCTGATTCATTTTTATTTATTTCCTATTTTTATTTTGGTAATTTTTAATAAATTGAAATACAAAAAAAAAATATTTTCTTTTATTTAGTATTTCTTTAAGTAATAAGGAAGTTTAAGATTCAAAACATGCATCATTTCCATATTCGTATAGATAAAATGAAAATTAAATAGAAAATCATATGAAAAATTAATACTTAGTTAAATTTTGACCTTAACTAGGAATATTACAATTGTATATATGAACACTACATACTATGAAAAATCAATAGTTTAAATGTATTTTTTCTCGATAAACTAAAATAAATGCGAACTTATAAAATGGTCATATTTGAAAATATTTTTAAAAACCCCTGTTTTTTTGCCAAAACTTCAATAAAGTTATGTACAATTTTGTATAGGCAAAATGATTGCGTTCAAATATATGATTACTCCAAGCGAATTTTCAAAAAACTCCAAAATTATAATCGAAGCATTGTTAGTTCAAAAAGATGAATTAATTGCATTCTTTGGTTTCTAAAATACAAGAACACTCTCAAAAACATTACGAAAATTTTAAATAGAGTATCAAGGGCGGCATTTGTATAATTTTTTTAAAAGGTGCTTAGGAAAAATTTTGAGAAAATTATATAGCTAATTTATTTCTAGACTTATGATTCCCTGTATTTTCAACGCTTCTAGTTGCAAGCAAATTCAATTGCAATTTAAAAGTTTTTCTTGAAATTTATTTAACAACTTTTACACAAAATACAATTAATTACAAGTTTAGCTGAAATACTCGTAAAGCACCTAAAAATTTTACAAAATATCAATTATTTCTATTTACTTATAAAATTATTTAACTAATTTTTATTTCGATTTCTTAAAAATGCAATTTTAAATTCTAACATTGTCAAAATTTTTCATTTAATAATTTGATAAAAAATGAATTTTTATTTTATTAAAATTTTTTTCTAAAAGATTAATAATATAATAGTTTCTAATCTAATACCTTATATCTTGTAGATTATAGATTTGTACAGCGGGGGCAACCGTACACCTTATAACATGAATTCTATACATATGCCAACATTATATTCTAAATAAATTAAATAATTAATTGGAGCATATTTTTATTAATAAAAAATTAAGAAAAATTAAATAGTCAATTGAAAACCGAAGATTTACATTAATTCAAAAGGGCGTAAAAAATAAAATTTCTTCTCATATTTTTTCTTCCTTTATTTCAATTCAAAGTTTCCTATACATTATGCTCGTACATAAATTAATTTAAATATAATTTCACATTATATGCGCTAAACTTATTTAGTCCTTATTTAGAATTGCAGTTTTTCTTTACAATTTTTCATAATTTCTTACTTCAAATCTCAGTAAAACGAATTATAATAAAGATCTTTTTTTTTTAATAATTTATTAAAATAAAAACTAATTTTTAAATACACTCGCATATACTCGCCCATTTCGCATATAATATGTTTATAGCGATTCCTAACTATAAAATTTCGACTTACATCTTTTTTCTAATATAATTTTTTTTTTTAAAAATTATGTTACATTAAATATCAAAAATTTTGTATTCTTTTATTAAATTTATCCTTGTTATTTTTTATAATATCACATTTTACTTGTTTTCCGTATTTATTTTTTTTTTGTTTATCCCAAGGATATAAAAATTGAAACATTTCAAAATTTCTGATGTATAAAAATTATGATGGCTAAAATATACAGAATAAAAAATTAGAATATCCTTGAACTCAACTAATATTACCTTGTATATGTATAGGACTTGTAGGCTTATATATAATTTTTATTTTACATTTTATTTAATAATTTTACATGGTACAAGATATAGCATAAATAATATAGATAATGATATTCGTTTTTGTTGCATGAAAGGATAACAAGAATATTTTGACAAAAAAAAAAAATTTGAAATAAAACAAATTTAATTTTTTACTTGTTTGTTACAATATTCATTGTAAATTTTGTGATATGTAAAGCGTAATAACATACCGTGTACAATCCACCACAATTCAAACAGGATATTTTGAATAAAGGATATAAATTTTTTTTATTTTATGTTGGGAAAAATTCTTCTTCTATTCAATTAAATTTCACTTTGATTATATTTATAAATTTAGTATGAAAAATTAATTCACGAAATAATAAGAGAAAAAATATATTTCTTTTGTTTTCAATGAAATTCAAAAATGTTATCAATGCTATTCTAATGCCCTCCATTCAACTTACCATCAGTTTTATTGAACTTACAATCTTTTCTTTTTATTTCAATAAGAATTAATATAATTTTTACTTGAAAATACTTGATTTTTTTTAATAATAAATTGTGATGAAAGACATATTTTATTTAGCATCATAGTCAATGATATTTAATTTTAAATAGCCTTGATTATAATATTTAGAACCTCCTTTAATACAAGAATTTTGCATTAATATTTCCAAGAAAATATTGTTAGCCTTTATTAACTTATATTTTAAGTGAACCAGATTTTCGAATCATAGTTGATTTGAAATATAACTTTCCTTTAATTTAATTTGATCCTATTAAATTGGTCAATTAAAATTAAACTTTCCTGGATTATAAATTCCAGTTTTTGTGTTATTTGCATTGCACTTTAAGAATATTGTCATAAGGCCACAAAATAATTTTTCTTCTAAAAATATCAAAATTAATATTTGATGACAAATGATTGTTGATGACAATCTTTGTAAAGAATTTTTTTAATAATAAATTTCTTGGAAATTATTTACGTCTTATAATTATGCCCATAAAAGCTCGAAAAAGCCTAATTTAATAAATTAATTTTTAAAACTTAATTTTTTAAATTGCTGTAAAAAACTAAATTACAATTTTTGTTTAAACACTTAAAAAATAGCATAGTATATGCATATTGTTACACACTAAATAGTCACAGTACAATTATATAATACAGACGATACTTATATTTTATGTATTGACAAACATATACACAAGAAACAATTGTAGAAAAAATAAAACCAAAAATAACGCTCCAATTAAAGTCATTGCATTTTAATTGAATCAGAAACCATTTAATTTGAAACTTTTAATTAATCAAATCACAACAACTCTACCATACCTACACACAATTCAACATATATATATATATATATATATATATATATATATATATACATAATTCAATATATAAATATATAGGGAATATTGTTGAATTTTATATAAAACCTCATAAATAATAATATCCTTATCGTAGCGATCATTTAATATTAATAAAAATGGCAAATAAATGCAAGAAGCCAACACTAATAAAGTGACAATATATATAAATTGTATGTATGTGCAGATATGTATTTAGTTCTGTTCATGTTGGTTTTTCATTTAATTTCATTTTTATTTTTCATATTAATTTCATATATAGATTCTTTTTTTTATTCGGTTAGAATTTATGAGTCTGGAAAATATTTAACACAATCGAATAATATTGTCATATGTGAATGTAATAAATTTCCCGAGATATGAAACTATGAAAATACCTCATACCTCATTTTCAATTTTCAAATGATAATATTTTTTAGTGTTGCATATGTTTCCTTCTATATAGTTAATATAATATGCAATCATTGATATGTACAGGTTTATTTTTATCTAGTAAATTCTTAAGGTATACAAGTGAAAATATAACACTGATTGGGAATATGAGTATCAAATACACTGTACGAAATTCTTCTTGATAGGGTCGAAATTTGAAGAATATACAGTATGTAATATGGTTGAAATTTAAAACAGCATATGCCAAACTTAAAGAATATTTGCTGCAGGAAATTTTGTTTGTACTTTCTTGGAAATCTATTATTTTTTTTAATGGATATCTTTTAATCATACAATTTTCTCTCTCTGTAACGAAATTTAGCGTATCTTATCCTAATTTTCTAAATGTTAATAAAAATTCTTTGGAGATGTTAGATCTTTGAATAACCTTCAACTCCTGTGTGGAGTGTATTTTGTCGGAATATTTATTTTCTGCTGTCATTTTTTAGTACCCTCAGTTCTTATACTTATTATGTTTCCAATGTCGCTTTCAAATATAACATTCCAAACTACTCTTCTACTTTGGAATGCTATATTGGAATGTTATGTACGACAACAAAAAAAATAATAACTGCGATTATGCCATACAGCAAAATATTCAATTGCATTTTTCAACCAACACGTCTGTGGAAGTCCCATAACTCCATTTATTTTTTTTTTCCTCTTTTTACACTTTTAACCAGGAAATGTAAAAAAAAACAAACAACAAAATCAGAAAACGTAAAAACATGGTTAAAAATGGAAATCAAAATAGAAAAATACGTTTTTGTTTTTTACAAAATAAATTTAATATCCGCGTTTTTTCTCTTTTTTTCATTTTTTATTATTTTTGTTACTTTAAATTTTTTTATTTAATTTTTTATATTTCTGTTTATATTTCTTTTATAGAACCAATTTTAAATGAGCATCCAGTTACAATTTATCCTGGTCGTGCATCACCAATCGGTAAACGTGTACCACCACGTACATTACCTGGTTCAATTGAAAGACATCGTGAAGTATGCCGTAATAATCTTAATAATGAATTACATTCACCAACACAACAAACAATTTATGATCCAACTGAAGGTAATCCACCATCTTATGTTTTATTAACATCAGCATCAACAACAAATATGTCACCATTACAACGTTTAGCCATTACAAAATCGCCATCATCACCATTGGTTGCTGTACAACAACATATTATATTACAAAATAGTGTTAGTAGTAATCAACTTATTGACAATAAGAATTTATTAAATAGTCTTCAAATACCGCCCTGTAAACCAAAACGTAATAATTTAAATAATAAAAATTTAATAAATTCAACATCATCATCAAATAATGGTAGTAGACAGGATCGACAAGATATTGATGATATATCAATTATTGATAATAATTGCAATCGAAAGAAAATTAATGGTGCTACAACAACAGATAGTAGCAGTGAAGAAGAATTTTCTGATGATTCGCTGGAAGAAGGACAATCATTACCACCACCACCAGCACCACCATTAGTGCCTCCACCACCATCATTATCTGCACCGGTAACACCAAGTAAACGTGGTAGTATAGCATGGGAAATAAATTTAGATGATCATTTACCACCACCACCGCCTCAAATTACCGAAAAACAAATGAAATTGGAAAAACGCTTAGGAAAATCAAATCATAATATTATAAACCAAAGTAATAATAATAATAAAAATTTAAATTCAATTGATGGTATTGGAAGTAATAATAAAAAGAAATCAAATTCAAATATTGGTGCAATAAATAGTAGTAATAAAGAAAAGAAAATTGAAACATCCGCTTCAGCAAAGGTATGTAAAGAAAAAATAAAATTCAAATTGTTTTTTTTTTTTTTTTAAATTTAATGAAATTTTCGGGAAAATTATTTTATAGTCAGTGTTATTCATTTAAATTTTATATTCATTGTATATTTTAATACACTCTAAGGATTTGTCACAATCGATTATTTTCATTTTATTTGTACTCGTATATATTATTAAATACAAATCCCAAGTGTTCTTGCATATCCGCAGGCTCATGGATATACGTGGTTCCATAGTCTATAATTAATTTGTCGCTTTACTTGTCGTCGATAAGAGCCACAGCGTATATTTGTTACCCAATAAATAATGAGTGAAATATTAGAGAAATGGAAAATTCGTGTTTAAAGCGAATAAATGCGAATAGAAACGAAATTCAAATATTAAAATTTTTATTTGCGATTGTTATTTGAACATTAAAATTATTTTTCAAAAAATAAACTTTAAATTTAAAATAAATATTTTTAATTCAATTTCAAATGTTAGCAAAACTCAAGTATCACGTCCTTTTTTCTCATAAAATAAAAATTAATACTTTCATTTTTTCTCTTGAAATTAAACTTAAGAATTAAAATAAAAAATTTTCTTAATAAACTTTTAGAAAAGGACATCAAAATATAAGCCTCACATATAACTCATAAATTTCATGAAAATAAAATAACAGAAAAAAAATTAAATATTAAGAAAAACAAAAATGGCAAACAAAAGAAGCACTTAATTTAATTTTCTTAAGAAAAATAAAAATCGATACTTTTGATAAACTTACAAGGAAAACTTTTAAAGTAAAAATAATAATAAGAAAGTAAAAACAGAATAATAAGAGTTCCCCTACCCTATATTTTCATCCTTAAGGAATATTAAACCATTTAACTATCATCCATACTCTTGAAAATTTAAAATTTTTCATCCCATTCCATTGTACCTGAAACCTGTTTAACTGTTTTATAAGTATGTTTTTGTATTCTGTTTCTGTTTTTTCTTCTCTCGTTTCTATATTCATTTTACCATCTCCCCAGCGTGATTCTCTTTCATTTTTTACATACAAATTGAAAAGTTTCATAAAAAGTTTTACTTTTTTTTTAAAAAAAAAATTCAGAAAAAAAAAATTAAAGGGATTATCTAATTACATGGTAAAATATTCCTAACATTTTAAACGTTATTAAAAATTAATTCGCCACCATACCATTAAATGTCTCTCTGTGTTGTTTGGCTGCTGCGCCCCCTCAGCTCTTTAATAATTCAAAAAGTTGAAAAATTTTAACATTTTTTTTTTGTTTTTATTTTTAGCACTTTTCCAAAAATTTTTTGAAAAAAAGTGCTTATTAGTTTCACTCTGTCCGTCCGTCCGTCCGTCCGTCCGTCCGTCCGTCCGTCCGTCCGTCCGTCCGTCCGTCCGTCCGTCCGTGTGTATGTTTACAAAACTTCTACACCCTTGAAGATAGAAAGCTGAAATTTTGTACGTACATAGATCTTTACCAGAAACTTATTTCTGTGGAACAAAATTTTTACCTATCTCCTCCCCTCTAGAAGTTATACCCCACCAAACCCCTAAAAATGGCCTTTTTTAACTATTTGTTGCAATGAAACCATAAGCATTTTTGAAATTTTGCAAACACGGAAAGGCAGCTGCTTGCTTCCCCTACCGCGGTATACTATAGTTAAACCTTAGAAAAACAAAATGGCCGCTCAAATTTACCGTTATCTAAAGTCGTTTTTTTCCAAATTTTTGATGTCGTTTATCTTCCAAACCCCAGCCTGTAGAAGCTTGAAATTTTAGGAGCTTTTAGACATTATCAAAAAGTTCATTTCATTAGAAGAAAATTTTTTTCCATCTCCACCCCCTCTCAAGTTATCGCCTCTTGAAATTTGTAAAATTTTAAAATTTGACACCTTGTATTTCCGAAACCGCAAGCTTTTTCAAATTTCTATAAACGCAAAAAGTTAACGGTAAATTCCATGAAATTAAAAAATATAATTATTTTTCTTAACTCACACAATTAAACCTTAAAATCGAGCATTATGTTAACCCCACTTTATATTAATTTTTGCTTTATTTCAAAGACTGCATAAATCGTTCATCCTAAATATATGCAACCCTAGAAATAGTTTTGTATATGAATAAAAATAATTTTAATAGTGTGGTGGATATACATAGACTGTATTTAAAAGCAGAATTTTCACTTGTTGAAGGGAAAAGTGCTACAATACAAACCATTGGTTTGACCCAACTTTATTTTTTTATATATTTTACACTACTATTAAGAAAGAAAGCACTTTATCCAGTACCCATATAAAATTTTACTTATTTCTTTTTTTTTTGTTTATTATTAAATTTGCTTTTTAGTTTTTCCATCTTAAAATATTTAAAGAACTGCAGAGTATACCCTAACATATTTAATTGTCTCCTTAGATTTTATCTGTATACTATTTACACTTTGTTTTCATCTAATTTTTTAGAATATTTTCATTATAGCTTTTTGCTTTAACTGCAATTCTTGCATACTGTTATACGAAACACGCTGGTATTACCAAATATTAGAATCTCAACTTGTAGTTTTATAACACAAGTCGCTTTCTTCTTTCTCGTACCAAGAAATATGAAAAATTCACATATTACATAAACAGCTTTTTATTAAATTTCTTTAAAATGCGTAATTGTTTACCAATTTCCAAACTAAATAAAATTCTAATATATTGTACTTAAGATTAAATGTAAATGCATAACAAGTCCCAATTTTCACTCTCATACATTCATGTGACATGCCTATTGTCCATGTGATTTTGTTGAACATGATTACAATACTTATTCTTGTTCATCTTAAGTTTAATCCCTCAATTTTAATACTAGTTCCCCTACTAATAATTTTAAATTTTATAATATTTACTTGAATCTGGCAACTCTATAAAAGCAAGGCAATAAATAATATTTAAATATGACCATTAAGAAATTTTGTTGCGTTACACTTCCGATTTTTCTTTGTTCTGATTGCTTTTCCTTTTTTCTTTCCACTTCCCTTATTTGTACATCTTCAAGAAAAAAATGTCGTTTTCAATAAAGTTTTGAATATTTGAAAAAGGTATGCTAATAATTCGAATTTAAATACGTTATTTATACACACTTATACATGTGTATAGCTCTTACAAACAATTCCCTAAAAATGGCAAAAATAATTCCATTAAAATAAAAATCAGTTTAAAGAATATTAATGCAATGCGTATACCTACCTAAAAACCTCATCCCATCATTTTCTCCTAAATATTCCCTTAACATTTTTAAATATCTTATATTAGAAAAATAAATTGAAAAGTAACATAATCAAACCAAACCACTACTCGACACAATAAAAAAATAAAAATCATAAAATTTACAGTCTAACTAGTACTCTTTAGAGAACTGTAAATAACTGAAGATATTGGCATATTAATTTATAAATATATATATAGGTACCTATAGTATATTTATACAGGTACATAATTTTAATTCATAAAATTCATTACACAAAGGTATTAAAAGCGGGTGAGTGAGAAAACGAACAGCAAATTTTTTTTTTCACGCGATTTTTTTTATTCACTTCTCTTTTCTTTTATCATCTTTTCTCTTCTTTACTTATACATTTTCATTTGATTACAAAATTCGCTAGTACTAAAAAAACAAGAGTACTAAAGAGAAGAATTAAATATTTAAATAACACACCTATACCCACTAACAATTATCAATAGTCTTAAAGTGGCGAAGACAAAAAAAAACTAAGCAAAGAAAATTACACTGTTTTTTTTACCTCCCCTTTAAATCTTATTCTTTTTGTTTTATTTTTTCCATGTTTCTCTTTCTATCATAGTTAAAATCTCTAATGAAGAATGTCATTTTGAGAGAGTGTCTTTTCCTTATCCATTATTCAAAGGATTCTAAAATTTCAAAACTTTATCATCGAAAAGCAAACATTCACTGGAAAAAAATTATTTAAAATTGTAAATTCAGATATAAGACTGGCTATAAGCTGACGTACTTTGTTTTTACATTTACATTTTATTTAAAGTGTTTCGTAATAGGTACCTTGGTAAAATTTTGATTTTACAGGTGAAAATTTGATAATAAAAAATTATCTCTGCCTTGCAGTAGTTCACTTTATACCAGCTAGCCCGCTATGTATTGTTGTGTTCTTAGAAGTAAGGACGTGATTAATTTTGTTGCTGCGATATGAGAAGAAAGGACATGATTTTTTTTATTTATTTATTCTAGTGCTTTAACAATCTTCTAGAACCCATTAGAATCTTTCACTTGACATTATTACAAGATTATATTAAAATTTTCATCATATTTTTTAACATTTCTGGAACATTAGATCTCTCCAGAAATGTGACAAATTTCTCCTTACACTTACCAAAAACCTGCCAAATTTCATTTACGCAAAATCTGAACTGAGCATAGAACTATATAATATTTTTTTTAATACTTTTTCGGGGCGTAGTGCCTCACACAGCAAATTCCTAAAAATCTCCTTGCAGAAATGTTGCAATTTTCAAAAATATCCGGTAGACGTTATTAATCATACACAATATAAATGATCACATTTATATGAAACAGTATTTTTTTTTTAAATTGTATAGCAAAATCTGACATATTTTTGTTTTTTTAAACTGGGTTTAATGCAATTGCATTGCAGCGGAACAACAGAAATTGAATAAAATAATTTATACGAAAATTGATTTGGAAGATGATTCTTAAAAATTAAATAAATTGAACTATTGTTACAACTATTTCATTTTCTCTTTTATACTTTTGAAAATATTCGGCCCATAGCTTCTATAAAAGATCTTAAACTTGTACAAATTATTCACTGAGTAAAAATTGTTCAAATGAAAATTTATTCAAAATATAGGTGACTGTACTTTTGATGAACCCATAATACACTCTTACAGTTTCTCACATTCGTTGTTCCATTCGAGATACATTAATAATTATATACGTAAAAAGATATTTATAAAAGGCA